GATCCTGGACGTGATCGAGGTGGTGCCCGAGCCGGGGCAGCCGCTGACCAAGAACAAGTTCAAGGTGCTCTACGAGAAGGAGCAGAAGGGACCCGTGACCGCCCTGTGCCACTGCCACGGCTACCTGGTGTCTGCCATCGGCCAGAAGGTACACCTGGGCACACCTGGGCACACCCCCGCCTCGGGGCCACCAAACCCAGCATGGGGACCATGGGGTCACCAAACCCCAACAGGGCCACCAAACCCGCCTCAGGGCCACCAAACTTGCCATGGGGCCACCAAACCCACCATGGGGCCACCAAACCCACCTCAGGGCCACCAAACCCGCCCAGAGCCACCAAACCTTCCTGGGGGCCACCAAACCCACCCAGAGCCACCAAACTCGCCATGGGGCCACCAAACCCCAGCAGGGCCACCAAACTGCCGTCAGGCCACCAAACTGCCTTCAGGGCCACCAAACCACCCTTGGGGCCACCAAACCCTCCTGAGGGCCACCAAACCTGCCATGGGGCCACCAAACCCCAACAGGGCCACCAAACCCCTCCAGGGCCACGAGACTCCCATGAGGCCACCAAGCCCACCATGGGGCCACCAAACCCCCACAGGGCCACCAAACCACCCCTGGGACCACCAAGCCACCCCTGGGGCCACCAAACCACCCCTGGGACCACCAAGCCACCCCTGGGGCCACCAAACCACCTTCAGGGCCACCAAACCACCTTCAGGGCCACCAGGGGAGCCACCAGGGGCAGGGAGGGGACACCCATGGCAAAGGGAGGCCACCAAGGGGGTTGGGTGGGAGCTCAGGGGCATGGGGACATCTCCAGGGACACCTGAGGGTCCTGGGGACATTCACTGGGGACACCTGAGGGTCCTGGAGAACACCTGAGGGTCTTGGGGGACACCTGGGAGTCCTGGGAGACACCTGAGGGTTTTAGGTGACACCTGCAGGGTCTTTGGGGACATTGCTGGGGGACACCTGAGGGTCTTGGGGGACACCTGGGGTCTTTGGGGACATTCAGAGATCTCAGGGGACACTCAGGGTCTCAGGATCTCCTGAGGGTCCTGGAGGACACTTGAAGGTCCTGGGGGACATTGCTGGGGGACACCTGAGGGTCCTGGGGGACACCTGAGGGCCTTGGGGGACACCTGAGGATGTTGGGCAACACCTGAAGGTCCTTGGGGACATTGCTGGGGGACACCTGAGGGTCTCAGGGACATTTATTGGGGACACCTGAGGGTCTTGGGGGACATCCAAGGGTTGAGGTCCTGGGGGACACCTGAGGGACTTGGGTGACACCTGAAGGTCCTTGGGGACATGGCTGAGGGACACCTGAGGGTCTCGGGGGACACCTGAGGGTGTTGGGTGACACCTGAAGGTCTTGGGTGACAACCAGGATCCTGGGGGACACCTGGGGGTCTTGGGTGGCACCTGGGGTTCTTGGGGGACATCCAAGGGTTGGGGTCTTGAGGGACACCTGAGGGTCTTGAGGGACATTTACTGGGGACATCTGAGGGTCTTGGGGGACATCCAAGGGTTGGGGTCCTTGGGGAGCACCTGGGGGTCACCTGAGGGACACTTGGGGCTCTCAGAGGACCCTCGGAGGTCTCCAGGGCAGCCCAAGGGTCTGGGGGACATTCAGGGGTCACCTGGGGGTCTCAAGGGGATGCCCAGGTGCCACCCCCGGCACCGTGGCGGTGACGGTGACAGGGGTGTCCCCGCAGGACGCCAAGCCGCTGGAGGTCTACAGCGTGGACTTCATGGTGGACGGCAGCCAGTTGGGATTCCTGGGTACGGACACGGCCCGGGTGCGGTGGGATGGGTTTGGTGAGGGTTGGGTTGGTTTTGGTTGAGTTTGGGTGGGTTTCAGTTGAGTTTGGGTTGGTTTTGGTTGAGTTTGGGTGGGTTTCAGTTGAGTTTGGGTTGGTTTTGGTTGAGTTTGGGTGGGTTTCAGTTGAGTTTGGGTTGGTTTTGGTTGAGTTTGGGTGGGTTTCAGTTGAGTTTGGGTTGGTTTTGGTTGAGTT